CGATCTCCTTCCCGGTATCCTCCCCACGAACATGGCGCCTCAGCCTCCTCAACCAAATCTCATAGTCGACCGGGTAAGGTGTCCCACACAGACTATCGACATAATCCGCAAACGCTTTCAGCACAGCCGATATCTCACCGAGCTTCTGTTGGATCAACCTCCTCGACCACGAGTTCTCCCTCCACATCAAGGCCCCCTCGACCGAGTCCAACACTGGCAAATCCCCACCCGACAAGAAATACAGCGTGTACACGAGGCTCTCAGCATCCGATGCCGAACACAATTTCCCTTCTTGAAGTGCAGAGGTAGACGAAAAATGGAGATTCATTGCCGGCCTGTCCCGATCTTCCAATATCGCGTGGCCCCAACCAATCACGACATAATGGGACACGCTCATATCCGATCTCTTCACACGGATGAATTTTCGGGCCTTACGTCCCCATGCCGGACCCCAGCCGAACCGCTAGCCGACAGAGCGGATAAACAGTCGTGGCAACATTTTATAGCCTCGTTCGGGCCGAACTCGCCTCCTTTGACCAGGTCAGCCACGGTCGGGCCCACCGGAGCAGTCACCAGGATAGGGGTCCCACACCACGGGTTGTCGCAGTTAATATTACGGCCCGAGCTCGATTTCCGGCACGGGCCCAAATGAATGGCCCGGCCCGAAGCAATTATCCGGGGAAGGTATTTGCTCGACACGCCTCTCTGCCTCATCACCCCGAGTACTTTGGTCTGCCTCTGGACTTGGTACCAAAGCTTCATATCCTCCCATGCGAGCTCCATCTGTGAAGGGTGGGGCCCAGCATACAGGAACAGATCTTCTTCACCAGGTTTATCGACACGGGATGTGATGTAGTACACGAACTCGCTGTCGTTCATGACCTCATCTACCCTGTAACCGTTTCGCGAGTTGGAATCTTCTAGAAGCACGACGTCACCAACTTCTAGAAGCTTGGCCGGCTTTTGAGAATGGTCCACTTTAACGGATTCCTCGTTTAGTTCTACAATTTCCGGGGAAGCCGTGCGGTGTTGGGACATAAACAAGCCATTATTATTGTTCAGCTTTGTGTTATTGAGATTATCAATACTATTGTTATCTGCTAATTGTCTCTCGATTTTTCTTGCCTGAAGGCGGCAAATATGGTCGGCGGCTAAATCTTCGATTGCGTTCTTAGGCATACTGGCAAATTGTGCTATGGAGTGATAAGTAGCATAAAGTGCCTGTAAAGCACCAACATCTCCCCAGTTTGCATTGCCGAGATTGTTCCAAATCCTCTCTACTGGAGATATAGAAACGCGCGAGTGATTCTTAAACCAAGAGGCAGCAGATTCATAAATATTACTGTTGAGATCGAAATCCATCTTATTCAGGTCGCCTTCGACTCTCACGACACTCCCGTGCTGCGAATCCACCACAAGCACAAAAACGTAATTTGAACTCGCAGGAATACTCGATCTGCTCACGCTCCTCGCGATCAACACACGGAGCGCGAAAAACAGAGCTTCACCAATGAGAGAGAAAGATGGGTAAGAATCATCACCATCGCCCTCATCCGTCGGATCAAGACTCCTGACGCCAGGCCTCAAAAGTGCCAGCTCAACTACATCGTCCCATTTTCCCTGTGGATGTCTTGGATTTTTCAGCATTATGGCCGAGGCACATAACCTTCCGGTTTTACCCCTGGCAATGACCTTCTCAGCCTGGTAGAACTTCAGGTTTCGGTCATACAAAGATGAGACGTAGAAAGGCATTAGGTCGTTACTTTCCTCTCCCCAGAAGGCCTCCCATAGGCTACTGGCGCTTGTGTGCATGAAATCCTCTAAAGCTAGAAAGGCATTTCCCTCCAAAGCGCCAGATGTCGGCTCATAAACGGCGCTCGGCATTCGGACGAGCTGCTGGAACTGAACGCCTTCGAGCGCGTAGTCAAACTTCTGAAGATCGATCCTCTCGAAAGGAGGGTCGAAGGCTGGGGCTGCTGCCCTGTGTTCGGCTAAATCCTCGAGCCAGCTTGTGAGTGTTCTTCTTAGGTTTTCGCAGTCTATGAATCTGTGGAGGAACTCCTTCCTGTCGTGAGCCCTACCGCCGGATGAAGATGTTTTGGCCGCAGATTCCACGGAATCTCTATCCGAGAGTATGCCTAAAAGTTCACGAATTTTAAGAAGTGGAACGTCCATTACTGAGAGAAACATATGCAAGCAAAGAGCGTAACTCGAAAAATTTTAAGAATTTTCGCCAAATGGTGTAATGGCGTCATAACTCTGGTTGCCAAATCGTCATCCGTTTTTCACCAAAACCACCATATCAACAATAAATGTGTGAAATTAAAAATCATACAGAAAATGAAGAACGAAATCCGCCTTATAAGACCGATCTCAACGGGTCAGCTGTTTCCTAGGACTGTTGCAACTATAAAACAGTAAGTTCAAATCCTACCAAAAGCGCAGCATCTGGTTGATTCCAGATTAGCTTATGTGAAATTAAAGCAGCTACAGACACATAATATTTTGTCACAAATTGATATTACAGCATAAGGAAGTATGAGATCATTTACCCCAATTGAAATATCTTATGATACTCTATATCAAATTAAACAACCTTAATAAGATTTTGCGGGTTGAAATGTTTTGCTGGGTTAACCGTGAACAGATGTCATATGTCCAATAGTTAGTAAACGACCGGTCCAATATTATTAGCTTCACTACGAGAAATCAGGAGATCAAACCAAATATCAAACTACTAGAAACCACAGAGTGGATTCCACACTCGCTATGGATAATAGTCAACCAAAAAAAGAAGTTTTTTTTTTTTCCGTTATTGATCCTGCTAAGAGTGGTAGAACATGGAAACTGAAAAAGCCTAATTTGGAATATAATTATCATGTGGGTAAAATCATAATTTCTCTTCCCCCTATAGTAAATTTACGAGAGATATGATAGTGTAATCAAAGCAAAAACAACCTCACATAAAACAAGAGAGAAAATGGGAGATTATAAAAGGTATTGCATGATACATGTATAGAGCAAATTCTATTTTGCCAATGAGGTAACATAATTGTGTCGAGAGGTTTGGAGAGCATTCAATTAATGTGCTTTTCACTAATAAGGAACAAACTTGAGATCATACCAAGACTAGTTCTATAGACTAAAAAGTTAACGAACATCCAATTATAAAATGATCGGCAAGATTGAAAGAAAATTAAATAAAGCTCCATGCTTAAGATGATCTAATTCAATCACACCATTCAACAAGACAAACCACAAAAAACGAGCTCGGCACACTCAATCGCAAAGAGCTCACGCCTTTTTATGCCACAAAACAAGTACTCAGAAAATGTTACCAATGTTCATCACTAGGACCCATCAGTCAATGTAATCTCCAAAGAATTCAATCAGCTCTCAACTCCGAGTCAACCCTTTTCAAACAGATGCACATGTTTTCAAACAATCACAACCCACCCAAATGAACATGTAGAATTTATTCAATTCACAATTCACCTTTGGAAAATCAATCAACCGGAGTCGATTCAAAAACACGAAATAGTATGAAGCTCAGGACCATAAGTTCCCCCAAAAAAATAGAAATAAAATTGGGCAAACTCCGATCGCCACAGCCATGAAATGACCCAAAACTACAGCGAATTCGAGCAATCCACTGAACAAAAATAGTTCGCAGTAACAATTCACCAGAATTCTATTCACAGTTCAGGGCAATCCAATCAATTTCAGTTAAATCCAAGCAATTCAAACAAGAAGCAGAAGCAGAAGCAAAAGCAAAAGCAAAAGCGAATCGACATTAGGGCTGGCAGAGAAAGTAACAAATGACAAAGAAAAACGAAATTGAAGCTAAACTTTACCTTCCATGGCAGATGGGAATTACAGGAACAGCAGATTTTTCAACAAAGCTTTCCTCCTAAGATCCCTGACGTCAGTAAGCACGCAGGTCCTACCGATTCTTTCTCATCTCTCTCTCTCTCTCTCTCTCTCTCTCTCTCTCTCTCTCTCTATACATATAAGTCTGAGAGCAGAGGAAAAAAAGATAAAAGGAAAAGAAAAGGCATTAG